TTCATCCAAACTCATACATCCAGCTTGTGTCCCTTATGGGCCTTGTTATCCACAACCCTGGCAGAAGTGAGAAATGGAATAGCTGCAGTGTTTTTCTTTAATAGATTTCCTTGAGGCTATATTCCTATAGAATTTAGCAAATCAAAAATAGCACTTTTCAACAACCCCTTTGTGTACCACTTGCCTGCTTCCCAAAGATAGCATTGATAAATCACACCACACAGGAAAGTCCTGGGCGGGAAGTTGGAGGGGGGGGATGGTGAAATCTTATACTTCACATTTATAGGAAAACTTCTTAATATTTGTTTTATTCAAGTCATTGCATCATTTTTTAAAAAACTAGAAACCATGATAGGGTAGGTAGGATTGTTTTCGTATTAGGTAATCTGATTGCTATCTGTCTGCATTAGAAAGAATTCCTGAAGCCAGCTGCAGAAAATAAAGTACAGTTATGGAGTGGGGCAAATGTAACACTATTTTACATAATGAGAGAAAGGGTGCTTTTAGTGAAGTTTCTAATTTTATGAGTGTTTCCCAGAATACTTATACAAACGGGAAACACTGACTTCCTGTTCACCTATACTAAGAAGTCTTCTGAAAAAATAGATGCCTTAGAATGGTGCAGAGTGATTCTGCAATTAATACTGCACATGAAAAAGAATACATATCACACTGGTGTTGGCTTGAGTATTCAAAGACTACAAGTAGACTTAAAGAGACATTTTTGCCTTACAACAGAAATCCTTGTTCTACCAGAGCCAAAGTAACAGGATACTCAGTCAATCAATATTTCTCACTAATACACTGATACACATAGTACCTTCAGCAGAAAAAGAAAGACATATCTAGTTTAAATCAATTAGAAAAACTGAAACAAAACAGCAACAACAAACACCACAACTTTATAAGTAAGGCAGCAAAGGGACAAAAAATCATTTCACTTGGAACTAGGGATACGATTTCTACCTCAAGCTCAGCTGCTAATAATAAATTGGCTGGATTTGAATAAATAACTAATCATAGCGCCAAAGGATTTTCATGACTAAAAAATGCACATCATAGGTTATCTTGACCTTCAAGCAGCGTATTTCTCCAGCCTCAGTCCAGTTCACACTGAACATGAGAGTGCATCATACCCAGTATACGGATAACTTCTGCTTGGTAAGGACAATGTGCTTAAAAGTTCTTTGCTTTCAAACTGTGTTCTCTAGCCCAGCACATTGGTCACATTTGGGAGCTTCTTAAAAATGCGTAATGTTAAGTGAAACAAGTTAGACACAAAAGCATAAAAATCACACTGTGTTTTTACACAATAAATGCAAATAATAAAGAAAGAGCAAAACAAAAGACAATGGGGAGTAGAGGCATAGAACTTCCTGCAATGAAAAGAGGACCAAGAGATGGAGGGAGTGGGGTGGAAGGGAGGGAAAACAGATGAAAAAGGAGTTATGATGTTATACATACACTTATCAATTTTACACAAGGGATGCAAACATTACAGTGCTATAAGCCTGAACTTATAGGACTGAAGGAAGGAAAGAAGGAATGAATGAATGAATGCAGAGCTTCTGGTACTGTTCCAGAACCAATAAACCAGATTAAATTTTAACAGGACCTACATCACAGGCTTTTATGGACCTCACAGCAGAGAGACAGAGGTCAATTTGACTAGAAGGCCTGCCACTTGGCTTTGTTTCACACCCACTGTCCCATGACTGCATCAGGGTGGCTCAATGGCATTTTACTTTCTGATGCTCCACATAGAAACAGGCCTTGAGAGCCATTCCATCTGAGGTAGAAGCCTAGCTCTGGCACTGTGGCATTTGACATTGGCATCTTACATAGCCTAACTGAAGTTTCTGTATAGAAAAGGGAGATCAAAAGCACCTGGTATGGCTACTATAGAGTTTAAAGTAAATGATGTTCTTAAAATGTAGCCTAGAATCTGGTGCATAGCGTATGCTAGGTGAGTGGCAGATCATTAATATCACTGTCATCATTGAATTTTATTTTCATTACCCTGATTATTATACAGATAAGCAGGGATAACGTCATCAGATGTATAACAGATCTCCATCAGCAAATAGATGATATTTATTACCTTCATCCAGTGTATTTCTGGCACAGTCAAGAGGACTAAGTTATAATGTTATCTGGGTTCACAGTATGAAAATTTTCCACTAATACAAGGATTATCTTAGGTCTATGGGACATCGTGGAAATTTGTAAGTGGCTGCTTCTAAAGGAAGATCTACTTAGGGTGCCATCAAACAGCTCTTTCCTAAGGACAAGGCAACAAGTTTGGGAAAAAGTCACCACTCGCACAGATTCACATGGAAAACAGCTTTTGGCCATAAAGACAAAAGTTCAGATTGAGAGAAAACCCAGAGCATTAGCCACTGAGGAAAATGATTGCACTATGTGGAAGGAGTTCAGCTAGGAATTCTGGAAAAGAAAGTGACAGAAAGTTCTTGACATGCATTGTGATATTAGTCGCAGTTAACTGATATATTGTTGATTACTTCAGGGAAATAAGATATAGTGACTTTGTCTCCTAAATGACAGAAATGGAAAACAGACATACATGTTCAAATAATTCCTTCAACTTTACATATTGATGATGCTTCAAAAAAATTAGTTTGCTCATGAAAAATTCAAAGATAAATGAACCATATAAAGCAGGTATCTTTTACTCATCTTTCAGGACATAATGGAGATCACAATACTTAGTTCCAGACACTCATGTCCATGAATGTTTACACTAATTAAACATCATTTCAAAATCAAACATGATGGATGCCCTATCCCACTCTTCTTTGACCTGCATAACAAAAGGTTTTGTATTACATCTGCGAGTCTCATCTGCAATCTCAACCAATTGTGAACTAGCTATGAAAAGCTTGTAACTATTCCAGAGTCAAACTCTGACAAACACAGCAGTCTCCAAGCTGGATGGGAGTAAGGCTTAGAGATCAACAAATGCATCACCTGAGCAGCTGAGTGAGTCATTCTTATCGAAGTCCAGGCAAACAACAGCTGAAGAAAGAAAGTAAACTTAAGAAAGACATCTAGAGACAACACATGTCAAATGAAAGTAAAAAGGTTAAAGTAGTTAAAGATCCTGTCCCCTACTACAGAATTTCCAGGACTATTTGAAATCCCCAATGAACACTGGAAACTCTAGGTCTTCTTTGACTGCAGATGTTTCCAGTTCTTACTATCCTTTGCATCTTGTGCAAGCCTACTACTGCAGGGCAGAGATTCCTTCTCAAAAGCATGCATGTGTAACAGCCTAAAACTGAGAAAATATTTTTCATCTGTTTTATATCTTCTGTAAATGCAAATATGTAAGGCCATTTTTCCTTATTAACTGTTCTCATTACATGAGAATCCAAGTCTGCTGAATGTAAAATATTCTATTCTACATTCCTTTTATTGTATGAAAACTAATTATTAATGAAAAAGTTATTATGCAATGCTTCTTTCCTTAAGTAAGAGCCTCACACACCTGAACAATCATAAAGGCCCTTTATTTGAGATAGTACAGGCATCACATATATAAGTTAATAGAAATCATTTAAGTTCAAGGGAACAGTGCTGCAGCTAAGAAAGGAGACGACCCTGATAGAACCACTTTTATACTCCTATGGTCTCATTGTCAAAATCCTATAATAGGATAAAAGTGGGCCTCAGAGGGAGGGTCAGTGGTGGGAGGAGTGGGAGAGAGACGAACAAGCAGCTGAAGCCAGGACTTTCAGCACATGATAATCAAATACAACCAAATACAAAACTATCTCATTCTCTTCCATACCAAAATACCACTGAGAATAAAATTACCTCATTTTCTTCTAGATCCGTGGCTGACTTTTCTACTAATCCATGGGCCTGCAGATTCTTGTCCCTTATAGGTAGAAATGTTTGGAAAATAATGCACAAAAAAGATCAACTTCATATGCCAAAGAGCTGTTGTCACAGTAGTCTCCCAAGTTCACTTCTCCACACTTCCCTCTTTATTCTCCCCCAAGTGCTTCCTGGAGCTTTTATCCCCGCCTGTTCCTCTCCCTCCAAAATCCAGATACAGTGCAGACTCCTGCACACCTGACCCTGCAGACTCATCTCTGCCCTCTCTCCTTCAGCACTTAGTTTCTGTTTCTCAAGAAAATTGATGGCAGAGTCAATATGCATTAGACAGGGAAAGAGAAATCTAAACTACAGCACTGAGAGGTAAGGAAAATGTTGGAAGGGCCATTTGAAAACACACTGCTTAAAACACATTGCTTTCTCTAGATGCAGTTGCTATAACTATAATCTGATCTTTCATGACTTTGAAATTAAGTGAAACACAGCTTTAAATAGTATAGCTACTATAAACTCTTTTACTAAGCATGATAGTTTGACAATCTAGATTTTTCTTTTTCCCATTAGTTTAGTGGACTTACCATTTTCTTACCTATATATTATTCCTTTTTGTCTTCCTCCTCCCTTTCCTCATTTTTCTTTCACTAATTCCAATGCAGTTATTAATGTTTGACTGGTTACCCATAGCTTGTACCATTAATTTGCTAAAATACATCTCAGCATTACTTCTGGAAAGCAAACTAGATGTGCCTAAATTTTTCTACTTCTTTGCTCCAAATTATATTTTTGATAAAGAAATAAGGGCTGATTGTCTCAGGTCCTACATATGACAAATTTTATACAGGTTCTCAGTGAGCTTGCAGTCTTCTTTATTTCTAGTAGTTATGTCCTATGAAGTTACCACTAACACTGAATAAGCAAATATTGTACCAGTATTCCTGGAAATTCAGGATTACACTCCTTCTAGCCCAGGTCACAATAGTGTTGTCAACTCGTCAGTGCATAAGCTTATTTCAGATATATCCATAGCTATATCCATAGCTATATCATCTACATCTATATCTATACCTACACCTATATTTGATTTATTAGTATTGAACTCACAGTCAACAGCACTATGACCCATCCTGCTCCCAGCTTACCAAGCACAGGTGTTTTCTGTGGGGAGCACATCACAGCCTTCTTCATCTTAGGACCTCAGTAGGCCGGCACTATGGGAGGATCATTTGAAACAGTAAAGCCATCCACAAACTGTGATGACTGCGTTACCAGATAGATCACCTGGAAAACATTTGTTTACAGTAGAAAAGCTGCAGTAATAAGGTAATGTTACCTTGTTTGGCCTCAGCTTGGGAGTGCTTGCGTCAGGCAACTCAAATTTTTACCACTTTGCATTAAGTTGGGGGTTACAAGTACATTTCGTAACCCCCAAATTGTGAGTAAAGCAACACACAAATATAGAATCCAAGAATAATAAAGATCTACTATAATTCCTTTAGAACAAAATACCATCTTTACCTTATACAGATATGGTATGGTTTTTGCCTCAATCGAAATTGTGCTTCATCAGATTTTGAGTCAGGGACTAAGATAACTGAATTACTTCTTGTGCTACATTTCCTGACTCAAAGTTCCTCATGGAAAAGTATGAGACGATTTAGAATATTTTTGCCTGAAGGTAGTTGCCACTTCATACTGTGGAGACCTATTCGTTTTTCTTGTCGCTATCGTTACTGTTACTTTACTCCCAAAGTGAAAAGAGGCCGCAAGTTCATGATTTCAAACTGGGCTGTTGCAGGCAGCAGCAAGTCTTGAGATTAGAGGCAACATATTTATCTGAGTTTTGCTACTATAATAAAATGTTTGAAGTTGATTACCTTTATAATGTAGAAAAAGTTATTTGGCTTACTGTTGTAGTCTGAAAGTTGGATTGTGTGGCTTCTCCGACTCAGCGTCTGGGGAGGGACTAAGGGTGGATGACGTCACTGCAGGGTCCATGTGGGAGTGAGCGATCACATTCTCAGGCTGGCAGTTGGAGAGGAACTGGGGCTAATATGCCCCCGGTTGACCTAACGACCTTTTACTAGGTGCCACCTCTTAAAGGTTTCACATCTACTTCTGACAACACCACACTGAGGACCAAGCTCTTGGAGCATGAAATCATGTGGTACAAACTCAAAACCACATTGAAACCACAGCAGGCAACAAAAGTGCTGAGTCCAATGAGCCCCTCAAGCATGTGGAAGAGTATAGCGTTTTGTTTTTTGTCTTGTGTTAAAGTAGTTATTAATAAAATGGCAATGCAACTGAAAGAAACAGGGAAATAGGAACTTTGTGTGGCTGGAAGGAATGTTCGATACAACATCTACAGAAGATGTTTCTTCCTCTCTAATTTTAGTGACAGGCAACATTTCTCTTTTCCACAAAGCATTATGCTTTAGAGTGGATTAAAGAAGATAAATTATTTAGTACTTTTCTATATAAATTTTCCCTTTCAAGAATTCTACCCACTGGCGTCAGTACTATCACTCAGATCAATGTAAGATGTCTTCCTTCTTTTCCGTGTCCTTGTTGTGTATGGGAATGTGGAAGTGGGTGATGAAAAACACCCATGGTGGTCTGTTCCTGATATAAATATCTCTACCTTCATTGATCACTCCCTTCATCAAATAGCTTCCAGGCCTGTCACCATTCTGATCTTCACTTCTGGAAGTATCCAGTGTAGCAGTGTTATCATCAAAGTATAATGCTCAGAAATCAATCTAGACTTGAGGATGTCCTGAGACTACTGTGGAATGCAGTTGATTGGTTCAAATTTGAAATACACAGGGTTCTTTTAAGTATTATAACTGATTTGAACCTTTTCTGTCAATTACAAATTTATAAAAATTTTATTTTATTATTATTTATATTTCTAGAACGTGATGATTACATTCATTATGCAGAGGCGGTATGTGTGCACAGCACACCATTCTGTTTTAGTCCCCTCTCTCTCCTGCCCCTCCCCCTCTGGCCTACTCACTTGTTGCTGACACAAAATACTCAACAGATAAAGTTCAGGGAAGAAAGATTTAGCTCAGAGTTTGTAGATGTCTCTGCCCAAAGGCAGGGCAGCACGGCAGAGGAGCACCACAGAAGAGAAACAGTTCTTGGTGGGCAGAAGGCACCAAAGCAGCAAAGTAACCAAGAAGCAGCAACTGAGAATTTACAAGCTTCTTACTGTCCCTTGTATTTTATCCTCATATGTTATTTTACACTTGGGGAAGGTGGCACCCACACCCTTAATTCCTTAATTCCAGCATTATACCCTGGATCCAGCTGCCTCTGGGAAGCCCCACCTGTGACTGCAGGAGACTGAGGGACATCTAGCTATAAGCTGTAGCACCCTATGTCCATCTCTTGGCCCCCTTCCCTTTTGCAAAACATCTATTTCCTATTACCTTTTATTTTGCTGTACAATTTATGTTTTGGGTTTCTCATATAAGAGAAGTCATGTGATGTTTAAACTTGTCTGATTTATTTCACTTAGCATTATGGTCTCAGAGTGTATTCATTTTCCTACAAGTGGCCGAGTTTATGCTTCTTTCTGGACAATTGGAAGTCCATTGTGTATAGACAGCACATTTTCTTCATCACTCATCTGTCATTGAATATATAGGTCCTTTCCAATATTTTCCACACCTAAAACTCTCACACATGCAACAACAATGGAAATAATTCCAGTTACTTCTACATGCACCCTGTAGTTAGGCAGTTATCCAGCAGGGCCAAAACCTGGGACTCCACAAAGGTAAAGACACAGATATTATGCTATGAAAGTGTGTAATGCGAGGCAAAAAGAAAAGTAGGACACAGCAGAAATACAGAAGTGAAACAAGCAAAGCAAATGGAGACATGATGAAGAGAAAGCCATAATAGTAAAAGATCAAAAATTTGAATGAAAAGAATTTCAAAATGAAAGGTAGTATAAAGAAAATCAAATTCTGAAAGATTTTAGAAATATAAAGACTGAAGAAAGACTGTTATATTTGGCAATAAAATGACCTGGTTTTGAAGACAGCAACTTTAGATTGTGGGAGTTAGCAACAAGTTATCAAGGAAATAAAGACCAGAAATAATGCGACATGAAATCAAAGCAAGTAGAAAAGCTCAATAGCAGCTGGAAGCGTTATATATTTTCACTTAAGTCATGTCCTCTAGCTTGACACATTTATAAGTCCCTTAGGACATTATGGATTCCAAATATGTAACATAAATAACTCAAAAACTTTAAAACAATTACTCAGATAACAGTATAATTATACCTGCATACAAAGTAAAACATCGTTAATAATATTTGAAATAAATAGGCAAAAGGACATGAGTTTTCCCCCAAATTACTTACTGAATTTATAATAAAGCAGTTTCTATTAAAAACACCACCATTTCTGGAACTGCTTATAATGTTGCAAAGATATCACCTTTCATTTGGGTCAGTTATTTTATAATTTCTCCATAAGACGTATTGCTGTTATGTACATAGTGGTCTCACATTGAAGTTTTTATTTTCTGAAGACAAATTAAGGAAAAAGTATTTGTTTTCATGCTGTGTCTCAAGCTCAGTGTCAGCCCCGGTGCTTTTGTATTCTGAGGACATTTAGCACCATCTGTATCAATGGCCAGAGATCACAGAAAGCTTGTATTAACATGTTCAGGACCCTGCCCCTTTTCTTGAAACACTGTTCTAAAATTAAACACTATTTCTTCGTCCAATTAATTATTCAAGATGGAAGGGAGAGATTTTTCATGGGAACCTTTATATATTTCTGTTAAGAAACTGGTAAAACTGTAGAAGAGCAATTGCTAGAACACAGGGGCACTGTACCAACAGCCTCTGTTCCAGCGCTGCATTCGTGTGGATGCAGTGCTCACGGTTCCATGAGGGGATTTGCACTAGTGTTTTGGCTTCAGGGATATGGTGATTGCAAAGTGTTATGATCTTGCATATTAAAGAGGCCCCAGGGGCACCCTCTGCTCATGATATACAACCTTGTTGCAGGCCCACAAACCAAGTGGCAAACCAGTTACGGACTGAAACCTCCAAAACTATGAGCCAAAGTAAACCTTTCACGTTGTCCAGGTGATTGTCATAGGCTTTGTTCCAGCAGTGGAAGGCTGACTAATCATAGCAAACCAGAGACAAACTCAGTATCCAACACCGAAGAACTGGGTAAATAAAATGAGGTGAATGCATTTTACTATGGAACATTCTGGCACTTAGAAAAGTTATTTTCCTTTTTATGTGTGCATTACATACATGTTGTGGTCTGTCTGAAACAAGGCAAGCAGTTTTCCAGAATAACAAGTCCAGACCAAATAACTGACAACATCACAAAGCTTGTGTGCACTGTTCCAAGGATGCAGATTACTACAACTGTGAGAATCTCGGTGCACCCTGTCAGGGTCAGCAATCACATTCTCTTAGTTTTTCAAAAGAATCACTCACATATTTCTTTTAGAACTGTAAGGAAAATGATCACTTTTCATTTCAAATAGCTTAGTATTCCTGGTTATAGGTGATTATGAAGCTATAGACATTAAGCTGTAGGAGCCCAACTCTGCAACATTGGTACCTTACAACATAGACTGACCGCTATGCTCGGTAACATTAACTAGCATTTGTTCAGTAACTACTGTGAGGGAGCCTTGTGTTTATAATCTCTTTTAACCTTCACAAAATAAATAATATTCTCAACTGATTTACACAATTTTGAGAAAAAATGAGTATAGAAATGTGTTGTTTCTAATTATAACGTAACTGAAAAAAAATGAGAAGCCTGCCCTCACGTCATGTCAGGTAAGCATGTCCTTCATCTTCTGCTGCTATTATGACTCAGCCCTTGAATAGTGATGTTAACTTTGGAGTTCTTATCCATTTTGTCTTTAACTCAGTGGTCAATTGAAAGTAGCTTTCTTACCTTCTCAAAATCTTCCCCCTACATTAAGATAGCACTCTCAGAGCAACCTTTTATCTCAGATATTTCCAACAGGGAAAACATGCACTCCTGAGCAAAGTTTAACTTTCTGAAAACTGCCTGACTTCCTTAACAAATACAGCTTTCTGAAACATAGAAACATTGCATTGTGGCCAAGATCAGGGTAACAGGAGAGTTAGATTACTAAAACACATTTCATTAGCAGGGATATGCAACACGTCTCCAAGATTTACACAGCCTCCTTCTCAGCAATCAGGAAATTGCATTTCCTTGTTTAGAACAGTTAGAACAACTGATAAGACTTTTTGCTCTTTGCCTCACTCACAGCTTTGTTATTCTCATTCAATTAGCTGAAATGAGGTAAATCCATTTGAGATCAGAGCCAGGAAGAATAGAGCTGAGGTTGCTATCACTTTTTCTGTCAACTTTTAAGAGTACTATGAATCACCTGTAGACCTATCTGTGCCTTTCAATAGCTTTGGGAATGAATGCATTTTTCTTATATTATAGGTTATATCTTTCTGACATTGGTTTAGTCTTTTTATGGATTAAAGAAAATTGTGTCATTACAATATCTATAATACAAGCTGACCCTGAGCAAGATTGCACATTCTGCATTAGTATTAGAACAACGAATAGGCTGAGAAAATCATGGGAAGTAGATGGCAATCAAAAGAAAATGATCTTCCAGAATAAAGTTTCTGCACTAGCTCAAGTAAAATGGGACTGGTCATCTCGGTGTATCATAAAGTTTTCCAATAAAATGAAAAAGACAAATGGTTAATAACAATTCAACTGCCTAGGAAGTCCACAGTCTAATTGCAGAAGGTTTTGAGGGTCTTTTTGCATGTTTCTTATTTATTTCCTTAGTCCTTTACTTAGCTTCCTTGTTGTAACTCTTTGTAATTTAAGGGTAGTTTTTGGACTTAAGCAGCATCTTTGAGAATCAAGACAAATATCTTCTGAAGAGCTTTCAGTTCGATTTGGATCAGAGGCTATAAAAGTGCAAGA